TAAATAAAATGTTGATGCAGAATATAAAACAAATATGCCATGCCTTCTTTTTGAGGTACTGGTTATTGCGCATAGTTTTAACCAGAACCTCTCAAGACAGTGTATAATGTGTATACTATACTGCTACTTCTGCTTCTACTGCATTAAACACCATAAAGTAACGGCATTTCAACTCCTCATTCTGTCGAAATTCTACAAATCTGAAGGCGTACATATTCGACAAGAAATTCATCGAAGTTTCACATAATTCTAAAATATAAATGTGCTCAAAGAACCTTGTCTTTACAATTGTATTTGTATGAATTATTTGAATGATTCTTAAAAAAAAAACGTTAAAGGCCACTATTTGACAAGGGATTTTTCCTCCTACGCATGGTTATTCTATATTCATTTTGTTTGGGGGGCAAATTGAGGAGAAAATATTAAGTTCATCTTTGGGCGAGAATTTGCTTTAATAGTATTGTGTGATGGTGTATTGATTGCGAAGGAGATGGATGAGTGATGGACTCAAGGGAGTTTGCTTCTTCTCCTTTTCGGCAAACTTGATGGAGACCGCGGGTTTGAAATGATAATTGAAATTCTAGCTGTACATAGATTTAATGAGAAAGTTTGAGATCTGGCGAAGATGATAACAAAATAATGTGACCTGCTTTTCTCATAAAATTCTTTTAAATCCCCATATGGAGAAATATCGTAGCAGCAAAGCCGCACGTAAAGGTCTTGAAACACCCTGCTTAAAAGGAGATGATTGTCAGTTTCCATGTGCAGGAGTTCATAATTCGCTGACATCAAACGTGATGAAACTTAATTGGTGTACGAAAGTCTTGCATACAGCAAAGCCGTGGCACCATCATACCCCCTAAAGTCTCTCGGAGAGTACTCGGTGAGGGAAACGTAAGATAATCCTTTTCCTATATAGGGCGATTGGTGGAAAATGCAGAGCTTTACGCAAGGCCTGTTAGTCGTGAAACCAATGGCTCATCCTGGTGACTGACAACACCTGTCATTTGGTAAACACCCGAATGGTGTCGAATTTCCCCTGAGATCCCTCTACTATACCTTTATAAATGTCACCATGTACACATGTTTGGAAGCAATTAAGAACATTGGACAAACTTTTGGTGCCACCGAATTCCCATTTTCCTATAAGCTCTATGCATTTTTCCAATCTTTGTCATTTTCGGGAGCACTCGGTAGGTACGGTACTTGTCCTCCTTTTTTATGATTCCGAAGCGTCAAAATACACGATTATTCTAAAGCCTATCAACTACTGTTCCTTTTGCAATGCAACCATGTGCCTTTATTGACCACTACTCCTAATCGTTTTGTCACTTTCTAGTAATATTTTTTTATATTGATAAACAGAAATACAGTAACATTCTAGGTTACATGTTTATCTCTTTTTCATCAGTGAAATATTAAATGAAAGATTTAAAGCATTTCAGATGAACACCAGGATTGTTTCATCGACCGCATTAAAAAATGTACCCTTTTTTAAAATTTATCTTTGTATTCTTATTACAGATCCATGTGATTCATATTTAAAATAAGAGGGTCCCATTTCAGTTTAGCATGAAGGATGTAGATATATACACCGATGACATGTGTTTACATCTACCTACGATCGTAATACCAAGAAAACACCCAGGCAAGAATATATATACGACAGTCACATGATCCAAACCAAATTGCTCTCTCCGGACAAACTTTATGTAAATCACCTCGGGCAAGATTGCTAAAACATAAGACGTTTGCTTTTTTTCATTTTGCTGTGCTCACGATGGCCCGATGATATAACTGTTTGATAAACAGATGTATTGTGAACAATTAAAGCAATATTCAAAGCTGCGTACTGAATAATACTTTACAGAATCTATTGGGAAACGTTGTTCCCTAAACGAAGGAAACGCATCATAATTTACGTTTACAGCCTTGAAAGGCATGTGGATTTCATGATAATTGCGCCATAGGCCCAGAAGGTTTTTTGCAAAAAAGATGGAAAGGCTTTGACGGCGGTAAGAGGTCATTAAATGCATAAAGTCATTCAAACTTACGGAACAACGTTCACGCAAGCCAAAATATTCATGTAAATAAGGTATTGTATGCGTGGCCTGTTGAAGAAATAATTAAATCTATATGAAGAAAGTCTAGATTCTCAATTGAACGCGTTTCAATTAAATTATATTCTTACTGAATGCCGTTTATTAGTATTCAATGAATCTCTGAAAAATCTGTATATACTCCATGACAGTGGTGTGGCTACTGGTATAACAGGAGTTATATTCCCCCTATTGAAGTGCAACCGAATAAAAATTAAGAATAAAGGGGGAGGCAACATGAAATGAAGATCATACGTATTGACACCTCTCAGACCCGCCCCTTTTACCCGATCGCCCCTTTTCACGCAACTCATCCACCAGAAAGACCGGATGCAGCACTTCAAAAGCATTATTCTTCAAGGGATATTGTTAAGGTGTTCTACCTAGGTAGAATAGAATGACAAAACTCACATCCTTTATTTTCAACCTGAAATAACATCTATTAAAAGAATTTGTCGTCAACTATAATATCTAACGCCTCGGGAATCGGCAATGTCGCCGCGATTTCTCCGAGATAAATTGCTCTCTTGTTAGTCATTGCCCCTGGGCTCAACAAATCATCCCTGCCGAAGCTGCGGATGGGTGGAGGCACCTGAACTTAAGATAAGCTAAAATATATTAATGTTACAAACATAATTAAGAAGGAATAAACATCTAAAGAAGTGGCTGATCCAGGATTTTCTAGCCAGTTAGGAGGGTTGGGGGGGGGGGGGGGAGAGTTACTAACCCATATTTTTTGTTCTCTCTGACAAGCGATAAACAACGAAATGAACACCTTTTTGAGTATCCCTTTTGGGATTGTAAAATGCTGCCGGACGCACTATTTGGGCACATTCTTATCTTATATTTGATGATGATAAAGCTGCTGAAGAAAAAAACACGGGGAAAGGGAACGGCAGCAGCAGAGAGAAAAACGGATAAAAAGTGAAATGATTCACGACACTCAAAGATACCTAGTTACACCACCCACTGTCCGAGAAGGATTTCCTTCCTTTTCCCTATATATCAATGTTTCCATTCTGCTCGGCTAATTCAATTATTATTTAACAGATTAAGGAAGTATGATGCCCTAATAACTTCCTAGTATTCTTTGCCTGAATCGATGCTTCTCTAGCCCATGTCATACGAATTAATGACAAATACGTTCACATCTTCGTACGAAAGCACTCGAAACAGCATAAGGCCCACACCACTAAAGGATTACTTTCGATTTTTGCATTTCTTTCTCTTGCAAACTCGGGAGTTTTGAGATGCATAGGCTGAGCTTCCCGGTGTCTGAAGATTATGAAGAAAACACGTTTCGACAAATTATTATGCCTTTATCCTATACACTTTAAGAAATAAGGTTGCGATTGGGGAGCAGATTTGCATCCACCTACGCCTATTTGGTAGAGGTTACTTCTATTGTAGCAGAATCGCACTCTTAACTTTTTAGTGTGTAGCCGTTTTGAAAACAAATTTTCGAAAGCTTTGTCAAATATTGCCCGCCATCCTCTCTTCTCCCATGTAAAATGTTCTATGAATTCTCAAGTTGTTACTCTTTAGTGCATGGAGTTTCTGCATTATGATGTCTTCCTTCTCATAAAATAATTTGAGGATAGTTTTGAATTATCTTGTGCCCAATTTTCTTCGTGATCACTTCAACTCTTAAAATATATAAAATCAAAACTTAAAGTCTATTGAGAGACCTACTACTGCAATCAGCCCCTTTTAATTCTCTCTGTCTTTCTTTGTCTCCCGTTTTTCTGTCTTATTTCTCTATCTTAATTGCTCACCAAAATTCCTGTCTCTTACATTTTATAACAAAGTATTTTCCGGCACAGCCATACACATCTGCACATTGCCATTTATCAAGAACATCTTAATCCAACCATAATGCAGTCGACCTATCACGAACATGGCTTAAGCTGACGTCATAAGTCAACCTGCCAATCACGGGTCAGTAATGAATTATGCAAAAATGGATCAACAATGCGATGGCCCGCAGACGACAAAGTTTTCAGGTTACGCACTATCGAATGGAGCATCGAGGGAAGACGGTTGTGTGCAAAATTCATCGCGCCTTTTGGAATCGTCGTTAGAGCTCCTAATCGCTCGCAGGGCTCAGGAAAATAACCTACGTCCTTCGCATTTTACTGGATTTATGCTTGGCTGTCGGATAATTCCATCATACGAATGGGATTGCCACTGGTAAGGTAACGTCCATTATTCATCATCGATTAATTCAAAGCCCATGGAAGCAGATGTACATTATCGAGAAAATTAAGGGGAGTCTAACTTGAAGAAGTCTTTCGTAAAAGAAGTTTCTTGCCTATGCACGATGGAGGAATGTCGGTGAAATAACCCCCAAAACATGGTTATAAGATAAGAAGGCGCGTGAACACTTCTGCTTGGATAAAACGTTTGATACTTGTGGAAACATGTAAAAACAAATTGTAAACGTGGAATCTATCCCTGTCCTATTTACGTCGTTTGCTCCTCTTCCTAACGTTAAGTGATTTATATTCAAACGATGAGTCGTAACCGCGATATATGTAGGAGTGTCGTAGTCGAGTGGTTTAAGGCGCTTGACTTGGAGATGCGAAGGTCGAGGGTTCGACTCCCGACACGGCACTAATATCCTTTGGCAAGATATTAACCTGCACTTGCTACTCTCCACCCAGGTGTTAAATGGGTACCCGGTAGGATGCGACCGTCATTGTTGGTCAAACAGTTTTTGAGCGTCATGTAACGCCTGGCTGGAATGCTCCCCAGGGAGTGGAGATTGTGCACACATTGTGTGCGGGTAAGCACTGAATCCAATGACCGGGGTAATAATATCTTTGTAAAGCGCTTAGAGACATTTGTATTAAGCGCTATATAAATTAAATTTATTATTATATATTATTATTATATATCAAGTGGAGAGATAACACGAATCTAGAACTCGATCACTATTTACGGTATGCTGTCACATTCAAGTGCAACATTAAAACGTTTTAGAGGAGCCTAAGCGGTCAGTCCATTTCCTCGCGCTTTAGATCGTCTTCTTGTTTCACTTGAAACATTAGTTTATTTACTTCAGATCGAGAAGAAAAGGGGGAGATTTATGTGAAGATGGAAGGAGTGGAAGATCCTTTCGTTTACTCGTTCCATGGTGAATTAAAAAACAAAAGCCTTGACTACCTTCTTGCTCTTCTAAACTTGAGCGATGCTAAAGATTTTCTAGACTACTATGACTACGATTTCCATTACATCGCGCACGATCTATCAACCACAGCTGATATTTTGTTAATCACGTGCTATACAATCATATTTGTGCTTGCTTTAAGTGGGAATCTCCTTGTAATTTTCGTGGTAGCCCGCAAGAGGTACATGCAGACAGCCATCAACATTTTCTTCGCCTCGCTAGCCATCTCGGACCTGCTGATCGCTGTCTTCTGCATTCCATTCACGTTGATTGAGGCGACCACGGTGGATTGGGTGCTCGGGCCCTTCATGTGCAAGGCTCTTAACTACGTCACTTCAGTCGGTGTTGTCTCAAGTATCCTGGCTATGATGTCCATCGCGGTAGAGCGCCACCAAGCTATCTGTCATCCTCTGCGCTCCAGGGTGATCCAGACACCTCGTCGTGCTGTCTTCCTTTTAACCTTCCTCTGGATTATGTCTATGACCTTTGTGTCGCCGTTCCTCTTCGTACTCCAACTGGAGACCAAGATCGACCCTATGACGGGGTCACGTTACCGATTCTGCAGGGAACGCTGGTATAATCCTCAACAGCAGAAGAACTACACCTTGTTACTAGTCCTTCTTCTCTACGTCTCACCCTTGTTCGTCATGATAGTTCTGTACATGCAGGTTGTCCACAAGCTCTGGATCCGCAAACCCATCGCGCCTGCTGATTCCGTCGTGACACATAATCCAGGCATCAACACGGCAACTTCACTTCGTTACAAGAAGCGCGCCATCAAGATGATCCTCATGGTGGTCGGTCTCTTCTCCGTCTGCTGGCTTCCCTATCACGTCGTCGTTCTCATGCGCGACTTCTCCTTCATGCAAGACGGTGAGAGAAACCGACTCCTGTTCGCGGCTGTTCAGTTGGTGGGGCTCAGCAACAGTTGTAACAACCCCATCGTATACGCGTTCCTCAATGACAACTTCAAACGGAACTTCGTGAAAGTACTTTGTCGTCACCGACAATTTGCTAAAATGAAGGGTTCTTCAAACAATAATGTTATTGTCAAACCATTTGCGATGGCCACCATATAAAATGACCTAATTAAATTGACCTAATTAATTTAACCGGATTAAGTTACGACTCATCGAATAATTTATTTATGGGATCGACTTATTTATTGTCGCTCCTGCAAACACACAGATTCCTAGAGATTGAGTACATTTCGTATCTAACCTTTAAAAAATGAGCAATCGAGGTAAGCCTGATATATTTTATGTGTATACAATATATTTCAACACATTTGCAGTTATTGAGCATTGTGATAATTATTCAGGAGCATTCTACATTCGGTTTGTACATTCGGTTTATTTCAGATCATTTTGTCAAACTAGTTCTTGTAAAGATTTTTTTTCCATTGAGTTATCTTCAGATCTTACTATCGACAGTTTCAAGAAAAGTAGCGCTCGTCTTTAAGATACTTGTATTTTCTCGAAAATGTCAATACTTCAATATTCCTATTCCCATTTCTCTCCAAGAAGGCTTTCCTAGAGGCTAAATTCAACATTTTCTAAATTAAACATGATGGCTAGCATGATGCTCCCCAAAAACAAGACATTTTAAATTCCTGTATAAGCGTCCAAAAATATAGTTTTGTCATTTTATGTTAGGATCGGTCAGACTGTTACAGTGACATGAATACTGCCCGTCAAATCAAAGTCCCGGCATGATTTAATTTATTTTAAAAATCTTTATTCTCTTATTGCACAGTCGATTTCATTCACACTTTGACTATAATCCATTTCTCTTTTTTGGTTTGGTCTTTCATTAAGACTAATATGCTATCAACATGATGAAGCATATAAAGGTCATATGTTCGGTCAACAATTACCTCTCATTCGTAAAGCGAGGTGCCCAAATATTATCATGTTTTGAAAGCGAGGTGCCCGAATATTTATTTTTTCAAATCTTATGACGAACATTTGAAGAATAATTAGTAGAAGGATGATTCATGGCAAAGAGCTGCCAGAATTTATCATTCATATCATACTCAAAATCTTACATTTTGAGGACTAAGATATTCTATCAGCATGATCAGAAAGGTGTTTTTGTGATAATTTAGGAAACAGGATGGCAAACATTCGGGCATCCCCCTCTACGAAATGTGCCAGTACGCCATGTTGCTATCAAAGTTAAGTACTTTCTAAGCTTTTGCCTACTTTCAGATGGAATGTTCTTCTACTGAATAATACTGTTTTTCTGAATCTTGAATAGCTTTGGTCTGCCTTCAGATGGAGTGTTCCTCTACTCAATGATACTGTTATACTCAGTCTCGAATAGCTTTGGCCTGCTTTCAGACAGAGGGTTCTTCCGAATCTTGAAAAGCTTTGGTTAAGGTGACAGGCCATTGCTCGATCGAGTTACGCAATACAGACTTAAGTTTCACATTGTGTATCCCAGTTGCTCATGCTATACAAAACAATTTGAACTCGATAATCATTCTACTGTCATCTGAAGAAATGTAAGTAGGTAATGATTGCAAGTTATATTGTATCCAATTGTAATGTGAAATATATTTCGGACGCTCTATCATATCTATGACATATCCCTAAGGTGTAGTGTCCAATAACAAAGTTTTGATTACTCTTTAGAAGAAAGAAAAAATCATTAGAGAAAGGCGCTAGTCGCTCTTGGGTACTTGAAGAACAGCCAATCATCAAATGCCAAGTAACGTCCCGGTCACATCGGCGGAATCGATACCAGACCGAGAACAGACTGAACACGAAAAAAAGATTTTGGATGTATACAATTCTTTTTTCCAAAGTAACGAATTGTTGTATGAATAAACATGTAGGTTGTATTAAAGGGAGGTGGTGAGCTATATGTATTGAGGAAAATTATTATATAGATCCCTTGTATATGACTTTTGCCGCATAACTTGATATTTATCGTTCTTAGAATTCCAAAATTCGGAAATGTACCGAATAATAAAACCATTCATTTATGTAATGTAAATCTCGGCCATTTGTTTTTGCACACAATGATCAGGCACGGTCTTTTGTTTGGAGGGAGGGATACAAGTGTTGATGACCTTCGTGGCGAGAGAGAAATCGGTGTAATTTTGTTTCGTTTCAGGAAATTTGATTACCTTTAGTTTTGGGTGATGTTAGATAAAGGCTATGGCTTTATTCATGTTGATGTTGTTGGTGGTGGTGATGGTGGTGATGGGGGTACTGATGACGATAGTGGTGGTGTTGGTGGTGGTGGTGGTGGTGTGGAGAAGGTGATGGAGGTGGTGATGGTAGTAATGGTCATGATGGTAGTGGTTTTGGTGCTTATGGTGCTTGTAGTGGTGATGGTGTTTGTGACGGGGGTGTTGGTGGTTGTGAAGGTTGTGGTGGTTGTGAAGGTTGTGGTGATTGTGATGGTGGTGTTGTTGTTGGTGGTGGTAGTGATGAGGTTGGTGGTGATTGTGGTAATAATGGTGGTGATGGTGCTGAGATCGGTTGTTTGTGGTGCTGATAGTGTTCATATGGGTAGTGATGGTGGTTGTTGTTATGGGAGTGGTAATCGTGATTACAGATGCTATATGTTGTTTTTGATGTATGTTAAGTGTAGAGATATAAAGAAAATATGTAGCATTTATTGTTCTGCAGTTATCCTAGAAAATATCGTTACGCTGCTGATGAAGATGATTGCAATTACAATTGCAAGAAGACTATTAGTATGATTACTACTTGATAAGGGGTATGATGAGGATAAGGATTGTTCCTTTTCATTTCTATTCATGTTTACTCAAAATAATACATTACTCATTTTATTTCTGCGTAGTTCTTTCGTTTTCTGGATATTTGATATAATAGTCACTGCAGAGAACTCTTGATCAAAACTAGATCGGGATGATAACAGTCTGACGTTGGTATATAAATCAGGTTTAAATTCATAGTTTTAAAAAGCAAACATACAGGATGTGACTGCAGGGGTTTTCTCTTTACCTGAACAGGATCACAAAGACTTTCGAGAAAAATCATCCTAAGCATTTATAATAGCGTTAGCCGTCACAAATTCAAACGAGAGAACATGACAACGGCGCGGCGCGGTATGAACATGATTGCTATGGGATGTAGATATTGGATATTAAATCGCCCTGGAGATGTTTTTCCTTAATTATTTCGAAATTCTTTGCGTTTTCGTTCCCGCTGCATAGCATGTATGTCTATCATTCCGTTATATAAACATCATTATTTCATGATAGACTCGATTGCCTTCGGAAAAATTGAGGTCGTATTTGTCAGCAGTCTTCAATTCCATTAATGAAATTAGATCCTTTTGGTATCGATCTAGTCGGGTTCTATTTCTGACTGACGACTGGTGACGGAAAAGGTTGATCAACTTACCAGTGATGTATTATAGTATACAGGATGAAATTGGGTGTACACCCCCTCCCCTCTACTTGAGAGCACAGAAAAAAGTCGACACAATTTGCACGCACATATTTATATTACCTACACCCTCTCTTTTCTCTCCTGTCTTACAAGGATCAAACCCTTTTAATCTGACACAAATGACAGTCAAAATACACCCGGGGTGTTTCACAAAGATCCTTAGTCGAACTCAACTCTATAAAGTTGGACTTAAACATTATGGGGAGCCAGTTTTAGCCTTTAAAAAAATAAATATTCAAAAGCCTAAATTCAAATATTTTAGACTTTTCATAAACTCAACATCAAGAACATGAAATCTACTTGATAATAGAAAATATGAATGATTTGAATCAACATTTTATGCATTTTAAGATAAGTTTTACATAATATTTTCGATGATGCTAACGGCTTTCCATAATTGTTAAGTCCAACCTAGAGATAAGTTCAGCTTAGGATCTTTGTGAAACATCTCCCTAAAGATGTAAATCGAAACCGCTAGTAAGAAAAGGGGAATAAATTAGATGTCTGTTGATGTGCATAAAATGGCTCAAAAGTATCTGGAATATCAATGCAAGATGTCATACTATACCACCATAAATGTCACTAAGAGGGCGTGACCAGGTCGATAAAGGTGGTATCTCCTAACAAAGATGGGGGGGGGGGTCTTGTACAACCATGATCATGATGAAGGAGTTCTATAGATGGTCATCAGTGCAGTTAAACAAATAGTTATAATAACAATAATTGTAATAATAATAGTAATAATAATAATAACACGCCAAAATAGGCGTAGTGCTACTACGCTCCCTCTCTCTCTTTCTCTTTCTCTCTTTCTCTCTTTTACATATATGTAAATATATAAATAATATCTATACCCCACTACCCCCATCTCTCTCTCTCTCTCTCTCTCTCCCTCTTTCATGCAGCCAATAAGTTAGCCATTTTATAATTGTCCACTCCTCTGCTTAATCATATAGTCCTCATGTTACACCCTCCATTCTTATCTGTCACGAGAGAGAGAGAGAGAGAGAGAGAGAGGAAAAAGAAAGTTACAGAATGAAGTGAGGGGGGCGATGAAGGAGGATTTCGGCAATTTCAATTTATTTGTTGTAAAGCCTTCACCTCAATATTAAAATTAACATCAAATTGACGCTGTTCTTAAAGGTCATCACACTGAAGTTATGGAAAGGCTCTCAACTTTATACAATCACCAACATAAGATATATTAAAAACCTTTGACCAGGCCGCTCTTACGTATGGCCCAGAATACTCTTGATGTGCCCACAAAACATATTCCGTAAACAGGGTTATGTTGTATCTGTTATTCAAATTATACTCGAGCGAGGCTCGTCAACTGACAACCTGTATTCGCCTTGAAGAGTACTTTATGCTTGTTTGTCGGGTCCACATTTGTATTTTTTGCCATCGTGAAGGAGATTTTCACGGGAGACTTCAAGACATTCGCATAATAACTTCGGTGACATTGCATAATGTTTGCAAGAGGCAATAAAAACATCAACGTGAAGGAGCCAATTTTCGATTCACCGCTTTAGATAGATTGCGACTTTAAGAAGAATTCTACTCCAGCGTTTTTTCAACCAGGTTAATCAGGTTGAAAGCCTGGAAAAGGAATCCTGGAATTACGTCAACATCATGAAAACGCAATATCA